TATCGAATTGGTAGCATAACTTGTATATATTCAATTTGTGTTTTTATCATTATTATTATTATTATTATTATTATTATTATTATTATTATTATTATTATTATTATTATTATTATTGTGATCACAGTTGCCTTCCTCGATGTCCAGCATGCATGCAAACAGATGACGAACAAGCCGGCAGTTTGCGTCCACACAAACTCCGAGAATACGAAGCCATGAACGCAAATCAGATTCAAACTTGCCTCGGTCGGCTATGATCCATCACTACACTCCTATCAACTTGTACACGTACACACACCCTCAAAGGAGTGAAACAGACAGACAACCAGCTACAGACTGACAAACATACTGATAAACAGACCGAGAGGCACAAATGGACAGACAGATTGACAGACACAGAAAGAAAGAGAGAGAGGGAAGGATAGAATCATGGAAGATAGGGGGCAGTTTCGTTCATGGTTCTCGTGTATGACATTTGCATGAGGAGGACTGTTTGGCCCTCCGCTTTTGCAAGGAGGCGTTCATCTGAAGAGGGAACACTACTCGTCTAAGATGCAACTCGCATGAGTGACAGAAACGAGGAGGCCTCAGAAAGTCAGCAAGCGGTGCAACCTGCATGGCACCGGTATGCACCACAGCAGCAATATAGACTGCGCGGCCTGTGCCGCATCAACAAATATAGACAGCGTGGCCTGTGCCACATCATCGATGTAGATCCGTGGCATGCGCCACTCCGGCCATGTACACAGTGCCCTGCGCCACATCAGCAATGAATACAGGTGGCACGCGCCACGTCAACAGAGGCCGACGCTTAGAAAAGAAGGTGCCAACATGCTGCCACAGTCCTGCCTCGCCGTCCATAATGCCAGAGTCAAGCCAACGTCAAGGCAGCACAACAAAAGTGAAGGTTGACCTTCTTGAGACCAGGCCTTATGTAATGATTGACTAGGCAGTCTGGCCTCAGATCCCCTACCCACAGTCACACAGTTTGACTCACTGCTAAGGGTCTGGACTGTGTACAGTGCGACTTCCGCTTTGTCATGCTGTTGTCTGGGCACCTGCATACAAGCAAGAGAGAAACACAGACAGAAACAGCCCGACAGATAGCAACAGACACGGACAGACAGACATATACGAACAAATACACAGACCGAAGACCAACAAACAGACATACAGACCTACAACAAACAAACAGACACAGTATGGGACAGTCATGCACAGCATGGGGCAAATAGTCACGGTCTGGGACAGTGGACGCATAGTCACACGGTGACTCGGACACATCCGCACAGTCACGCAGTGACACAGACACTGTCATGCAGTAACACACAGACACAGATGCGCTGGGTCACGCACGCACATGCGGCTAAAATGATGCAATCACATACTGTGACACAAACACATGCAGTGACACGCACGGGTACAGCGACATGCAGATAATGTGACATGCGGATGCTGTGACTTGCACACATGCTGAGGGCTACCTGGATGTGGTGCACACACGTACACAGACTTGGTGAAGCTGTGACACAGTCACACAGACACAGAAACACAGCAATACCCACAGAAACACGCAGGCATACAGCTAATACACAGATACACAGTGACTCGGGCACACAGTGCATAGTCACTCTGTCACACTGACACAGACACTGTGACACGCGCATACGCAGTGAAAATACAGTCACAGACACAATCATGTTGCGATACACGCGCAAACACGGGAAAACGAGCACGGTGCCACAGGCATAGTGCACAGACACGTAGTACACGGTACCACACGATGCACAGTGAGAATACAGTACGCAGACATAAACATGTTATTCGTTAAAATATGACATTATAATGTGTCCTCTTTTCAACGAATTCATTTGTGGCTGCAGCCTAAGCAACGTTGGCATGCCCATCCAGGGCTTAACCACATGCAGAAGAGTGCTGAGATCCGCACTTGTGAAACTTTATAACTGAAATCCCAAATGCGGAAGCGTGTAGAGACCCACACATGTTAGGCACGCCACCTGCGAACCCTGTGCGGAAGTGTGTTGGGATCCTTACTTGTTGAACTTAAAAAACGTGCTGGTGATCCTGCGGGGAAGTGTGTTGGGATCCATACTACGCAAACTTCATAAACGAATAACGAATGGCACGCCACACAGAGAACCTTGTGTGGAAGTGTGCCGGGATCCTTACTTGTCAAACTTCAATTTCACAAAATTTAATGTGATGAAAGATATTATATTGTAACACTGTCCTCTTTCTTACGAAATCGTTTTTCACTGCAGTGTTTCTACATAGGCGTGCCCATCCACTCGGCCCAAATGCGAAAGTTTTCTGACATCCATAGTTGTTGAAGTTTGTAAGCAAAATTAGCAATGTAATCAAATTGAATTGGAGAGACTCAGTATAATTCTTTCGGTTATCCCAAAGTTACACTCGGCCCAGGTTCATCGTCTTGCTGAAGACGGTTGTTTAGATGTATGATGAGATCCGGATTTGTTTAGAAGACTTGTGACCATGAGAATGGGCGGGAGTGTGCCGAGATCCACACTTGTTAGACTCAAAGCTTACGTATGTGATGAGCAAGGTGTCATGATCGAATCGTTGTTGGTCAACACATCAAATTGTCATTTACCAGGTTAGCCTTAAGTTATGCAAGCACACCCATCGTCTCACCCGAGACGATTGTTTGGATGTTGAAGAGATTCGGACTTCCGCATAAAGGCACAGTCATCATCTCGCCCGACATGAGGGCACTGAGGAACACACTTGTTTACAGTTGTGATGGGCAAGGTGTATTTTAATAACCATTTTTTTTCGAATTTTCTATGCACAAGTGTAAAACTTAAAATTGTGCTCATTCACAATGAATATCCGCAGTTTAAATGGTAATGCAAAGAAGCTTTTGGCATCCATTGGTCACTTTCACATAAGATGACATTTCTCATGCATCCACCAATCAGTTTCACAATCATGTTTACACTTCCGTTTTGAAACATGGAACAGAATACTTGTAGTGGAACAAAATTCGAAACATGGAACATAACGTATGGCATGTTCCGCTGCATTAGAAACGATTGCGACGTGACAGAGATTACAAAGCTCATACATGATGCAGGACATGCAATGAGCTTATTGTAGACAACCCAATGAAACACCTTAAGAAAGAGTTTCCAAGTCAATCAAATCCATCAAAGACAACGATGTTGTAAGAAACATGATGTTAATTGTCGTGTAAGAAGCAGAATATCTTTAGAAGATAATATCTCGATTTACAGAATTCAATGAACAACAAAAAGAACACCTTAAGAAAAGAGTTGTAGTCAATCAAATCCATCAAAGACAACGATGTTCTAAGATACATGATGCTAATTGTCGTCTAAGAAGCGGAATATCTTTATAAGAGAACTGGAAAGGCGGTCGATCTCCACGTTGCAACAACGTCGCATACATCAACATGAACACCCCACAACTTGCTCCATCCACTTGTCTTGGAACTCCATCCACCACAACATTTCGCACTATCGACTTCCAACTCCTACCCGACCGCCTATTTGACGTTTGACGTTCCAAATACTGCACAATCAACCCGAAAACAGAAAGGTAAAAACTAGAAGCAGATACAATGCGAGGAAAAGAATCAAAAATTTCGATAACATCATCTCTCATGTTGACGGAAAGGAGGATCCAGTGATCATCATCTTTGTGGACAGGAACGAAGACAATATCGTAACGAAGCAAATCTACATTTCTAGTCCACCTCCGCACCCCACCGTGTCCTTGAGGTCGCAGTTTACTGAAGAAGAACGAATTAAAGCTGAAGACTTGAAGGCCCGACAAGATGTCACGTGACCCACATGCGGTTGACCCCAACAATGCCATATAGAAATTGACCACCTCATTATTCACCCTACTGTCGACATGCAGCAGGGTGAGGAGATCTTTTACTGCAGTCCGAAATTGGCCATCGTCCAGTATAGAGAGAACAGTGTGAGACGATACCGAGCCTCGTAAAATGTCGTCCAAAACCCGTAAGCTCAGAGGCGCAATCGCTGTAGCGAAACTTTTCCCACGTGCTGCACTTGCGGCCCGCACTGCACAACATCGAGCAAAGGACACGTGGGGTAGTGAGAAACGGAGTTCTAGGCATTGTCCCCCGGAGCATTACGCGTTGCTAAGTACTTCTCATACATGGCCTGACCCCTACTCACAGATCGTGGATATGTCCCTTTCTCTGGGACAAGAAGGGAAAAACATTCCTCAATGGCAACGTTGTACTCCTTCTTCCCGATCTCGACATCAACGCCTTTAACATATCCTTGTGTTTTGTAGTCAACCCGGGGATTTTCTGCAATATGTGCTCAGGATATTTGGAGGATCTCCGTGTTCGAGACGACCCCACCCCTGTACAACAGAAGAAAGACACAACGAAAAATGAGAACCATACAATCGCACAGACGCAATAATCAAGCAGGAACTCTCCGACCATAGGACCCTGATTTCGCGTGGTCATGTGACCCAGGTGCGGTTGTGATACTGGAAAACAAAACGACTGCAACATTCTAGCTTAACACCCCCGCACTTCGCAAAGGAAAACCACCACAACTCACAGAAGCCAAAGGCCAGCAGTCCCCGAAGTTCGGACTGCGGCGGACTTTTCAACACACCAGCCCCACTGAGACTGACCACATCACGCATTGACAAAGGAAGTTCGGATCTCGACGGACTAAAACCGACACTATTCCCGAGAAGGGAAAACCGTCAGTCCATGTACTTGGCCACTTCCTTAGCCCCTTGGCCACTTCCTCAGCCGGGGCAGATCCTTCCTTGGATGGAGTGTAAGTTTGTCGAGGAACTTTTCGCCGCCCTCGACCAACAACCCGGTCGAGTGACAGATAAGCCGACGAGATGTATTAGGAAGGGCTGGTGGCTGCAGTATGGCGGCATCTGGAACTTTCCGTATCGACAGATAGTGTGGACAGTCATCGTGTGCACAGCGCGGACTGTAATCCGATGACATCCGGACGCGCAGGCAGTGTGGCGTTCTTCACGGCTTACCAGTCTGCTTCTCTCTCCGCTCCGTCGATGGGGAATTTGGCGCGGGCAAAGCGAGCACGTCGAGAGCTTGACCGCTGACCCTCGATTTTTTTGGGGACGTGACATGTTGTCGTCCCCCCGACCTCGCCTTCCTCTCCGGTGGCAAGGGTGTCCGACAGGACTAGGGACTTCGGCGGCGACGAAGCGAAGGCAGCTGCAACGGGAGACGTGACGTTGCCAGTTTCGTCGATGTCAGGAGTTGTGGACGAACGGGCAGACACGTTGTGGTCGCCGAGAATACCGTCGATAACTTTGTCGATGCTTATATGCCGACTTGTTATAGACGGGCTGATAGCGACGGATGCCTCGTTGAAGCGGTGTTGCAAGTCGACAGCAGACGTTAGTGGTCGGACCTCATAATCTTCAGGCTGTCCGGAAAGGCTGCTAACGACCTGTGTTTCCATCTCTATTGCCGTTGCATCATCGTCGACATCATCCTCGTGATGCTCTTTGTACAGTTGTCCGAACTCGTCAGATGACTCTCTAGATCCGGCATCGTCCTCACTGTGCTCCACCTCGTCATCTCCAGATCCGGCACCCTCCCTTCCTCCAAGCAAATTAAGTACCTCCGTTTCTCCCGCTTCCTCCCCTTCCTCCTCTTCGTCTCCTTCTTCCTCCCCTTCTTCCTCCCCTTCTAGCGCTCCCCTCCGTTCCTCCATTTTCTCCCCTACTTCCCTTCCACGAAACTCATCCCCTTCCGCGGTACCCGTGCTGAATCCCGAGGACTGCCCTTCTGTCTCCGTGCACGGTGCCCCTCTCAACGGCACGACAATCCCTGGCCGACACCCCCCGCCCGAAGAAGTTCGGATCTCGGCGGACTTCGTCGTCTCTGTGTCGCCGGACCCTGTACCTGCAGCCTCTCGCTGCAATCCTTGCGGTCGTCGCTCCTGCTCAGGCGACACCTTTTCCACGTTTCTGTCTCGCGCCGCAATGCTGCCAATTTCGAGATCCTTGCTTGGCTCCCCCGACCTCGAGCGGCTTTGCATTCCGGACCGCTCTGGGGGCTCCTCAACGGACGTAGTTCGGATCCCGGCAGACTTCAACTTTCCGCAGGAGTGACTGCCGGGCAGGTGCCTATCGACGGAGGCCGGTCGACGGCGAAACCCGCCACCCCGCCGCTGCCTCCCGGTGTCGTGTTGCGGCCGTGAGACCCCCTCTCCCCACTACTCGGGATTCCTTTGCCACCCCCCGCGCCACCACCCCCATCCCCTCCACCCCCAGGTGCCCCCCGCCCGGAACTACCGTCCGGGCCACTGGGAGGGGGCACTTTCCAGTCCTCCGTCAATTCCAACCAGCACTTGTCCTTCGACGGACTCGTGTCGAGGTCGTAGTAGTCCTCCGTCAATTCCAACCAGCACTTGTCCTGAAGCTCGTCGAACATTCGACCGGCTGTGGAAATGAGGGACAGGTTGCCGGGTGCAAAGGTGTCATTTTCGGCCATCACTTTCTAGAGGACCGAAATCCTCGCGAGGTGCAGGAAGTTGGACTTCGACTCGTGCGGGAATGACGCCCATCCCGCGCCCGGGATTGCGACGGCCATGACCCACTCGCCCTTTCGTATCGCTGGCTGGATGACTCCCGGATGCCACACCATGTCATGGCCCCATTCCAGCTCAGGCGAATGACGTTGTGGCTCACGCAGGAAGTGGATGTGGTCATCCTGCCAAGATGGATGATCGGGCGGGATGTCGGACCCAGGACGCAAGGCGGTCGGGGGGACGGCTAGAGCTCTGAGTCTCTCCATCAACTTCAGCGGCGTGGTGCCCCGTGGCGGTTTGGCCGACGGTGACACAAGGACTGCAACGCTCGATGACGGACTGGCCGATGACAACCCTCTTCCGTGGTCCGCCGGAGGTGGGTCGTACTGCAGATCAATGCTCTCTGTGTCGCTCTCCTCCTCCTTCGCGTTGGCGACAAACTCCACACCTGTGGCTTCCTCGTCATCAGTGGAGATCAGGGAAGCGTAACTGGCTAACTTCAACTGCTCCTCAAACTCCACGAAGTACAGCGACTGCAGCCTATCGAGAAACGTCTTCGCGTTCATGCGGGAGGCGAAGTGGTAGTTGTCGAGCAGTGCGAACATGTGGTCCTTCCGGCGGACGTACTCGGCGTCAGAGTCCTTCCTCGACCGCGTTTAAAGGAACAAGAAATCGTATATTTTGTTCCTCTTCCTCTCACTCAACTTGAACCACATATCCGTCTTGTTGCTCCACACCTTATCCCGTGTAGGCTTCATGACCATGAACTCACAATTGTGTCCGCCCGAATTAACCTCGCTTTTCACCACCTGCATCGTGAATTGCAAGAGCTCGGCGTTCCCTTCCATCGCGACAACGTGCCGGCCGGCCTTCAGAAGATCCCAGACGCTTCGTGCGTGCGGTTTCCCAAGGAACACGACACCCTCTCCCTTCTTCCCAAGGAAATCAAGTAGACCGACGAATTGTGTCGGATTGCGTTCCATATCCCCGTAGACACTGCCCTGTCGTTCCGGCGCCACCCACGACCAATCGCAAGGCACAAAGAGAATCTCAGACACATCCGTCTGGGTGACCCTCTGAGGCAATCGCACTGCAGCAGCGGCACCCCTGGATAGGTTTCCCTCGTAGACCATGGACGTGTTGGCGCGCAGATCGTCACCCTTGAAGAGGATGTACATGCGGTCTTCCTCCATGTACAAATTGTTCCCAACGGGGAAGCTTTTCTTTTGCGGAACTCTCCTCACTCACTTCCCTTCCAACAGCTTGACGAAAGAAAGATGGTGCATGCTGGCGAGAAACGGGAGGTTGTGCTGCCGCGGCACGAAAACAACGAGAGTCCAATGCGACGGACACCACGTCTGAAGATAGGAATCCAATGCCTCCCACTCTTGGGCCTTCCACAGTTTGAGGTCAACCGGCTCGCACAGATCGAGGACGAACGTGTGGCTCTTTGTGGCAGCCACTGCTTCCTTCAGCTCTGCGCCCCTCATGTCCGCCTCCAAAGGGTCGTTAGCGAATGGCGCGATGGATGTCACGTCTCCCATGTCTTTGCATTTAATGTGAACAGTGCCTTCGGCAAGTGCGACCTCCCGGCTCTTCAGTCTGCTCTCATTCAACACGGAGAGAACCTTGTTTCTCCAGTCGACGGACAACTTCTTGTGTCCCGCCAACTTCTCCGTCACCTCAATCGAGTTGTCCTGGTCGCAACCCATGTACGGTGGGCAGTCTTTGAACAGCGCCGAGTCTGAAACGTGTTTCCTGGTGTTATCCCACAACTCGTTATCCAATCCCTGACTTTCGAACTTCCTGAACACTGCAGACCTTGATTTCAGGAAAGGGTACCTTTGGATCCAATCCGCGTCCGGCCTCTTCTCGTGTTTGAACAAGTAGTAATTACACAACCGGACCAGCACGCGGTCGCACTTCACCAGTTGCACCATGTCCAGCATGCTGAGCTTCCCCAACTTCGCCAACGACGGGGAACCGGCCTGGACCCAAACGACCTCGCAAGCAAGCACCTTCTTTAGAACTCGACACTTTTCATTGTCCGTGAGTGATTCCATTGCTTTCCAACAATGCGCGTCCGGGTCGGGCACTTGCACAGACCAATCGCCCTCCTCTTTCTCCTTTTTGCCTTTCTTATTCGGCGGGTCCACGGGGATGTTGTACACCACCTCAGTTCTGCCCAACTTGTCGTTGTGGATGTAGGCGACCCCAGGCTTGACGTTTTTTACCTTCTTCTTTTTCACGATCCACTTCGCTCCGTCGTGGCTTAGCAATCTACCCGTCTCCCATTTTTCTAAAAATTTCAGGGCCAGTTTACATTTTCCCCGGCCATCGCGAGAGGGAAATAAGAATGCAGGGCAGCATTTTGCTTCTTAAGGGCCTCCTCTTCCTTTTGATCCGCGAGAATCCACAAGTTGTTGTGAGGCGCCTTATGGAGTGTCGTTGTACAAAACTTACGTCAAGCCCGGACCTGATCTTGTTTCCTGCTAGGGTTCCCCATCACAGCTCTCGGGCAGCCGTCATGCTTCCACTGCCACCGAATGTCTTTCATAGATAGGTTCAACTGTCTGGGAGGCGCCTTCAGGTCCTTCTTGTTGTCCTGTGAACTAACAAAAAAATACCCTTCGAAGTTGTCGTCCAAAAAGTAAAGCATTCGGGCCGGCCACCGCTCGAAATTGTACTTCTTGGCCACCTCGCTCCCGAGCAGCGACCGGGCTGCAGCCGCGTTATGTTGCCCGCACACCGCGTAGTAGTAGTATTCTCCGGCCAGCTCGTCCTTCCACTCCTCCGGCTTCAGACGTTGAGCCTTGGTCCCGGGAGTTGGTTTTTGAAGCCCCAGTGGTGTGAGCTTGAAGATCAGCAACTCGTACGTCTGCTCTTTATTTTCGAACGCATACTGCATTGCTTCTTTTATCGTTCCCACGAGGACAGGATCCAGCGATCGCTGGTTGTAAAGATCCTTCCACTCCCCGAGGTCGACGATCTGAGCCGGGCTAATCTCAAACTCCCGCATTGTCCTGATGCCGTCCTTGTACTCCAGGAAGTACCTGGCATCCACGTCGATGGCACACCTTGTCGTGGAAGGTCCTGACACAGGCTGTTTCTGTTTTGAAGCCGGACGTTTGCTACCCGGGTGGTCCTCTTCCACCCCCCTTCCCTTCCGTTTTTCTCCCGTAGTCTTCGGGGTCCTCGTCTTCTGTTTCTTCGAAGTGCGTACCACGTCCTCTTGACAATCTCCCCTCCTTTTTGGGGGAGTCCCCTGCGCTCTCTCACCGCCCACGGCCTTGTCGTCCGCGCCATGGCCCACGCCGGGCTCCAAGTCGGACCCACACTGGACTGCCTCTTCTCCGGGATCTGCTGCGACCTCTTGTCGTACCCCAAGTATGCACAGCACAGACCGGTCTCTTTCCCTCGACGCCGAAAACGGCGGACGCGGTGTCGCCTCATCTTCGCTGTCGTCAAACTGACCTCTGGCATCCTCCCGCTGCACATGTGTAGCCTCGTCGGAACTCAGATCCCCCCCCTCCCCCGCTGCCCCGCTCGACTCACAACCGCCGCACAGCTGCAAAGGCGTTGACAGTTCCAGGTCGGGGCCGACTTCGCAAGGGACGTCGAGGGCGATGCCCTTCTCATCCAACAAGTCGAAGAACTCTCGACCCAAAACAAACCCGCCCTGCCGCCGGAGGTCGTTGTAGAACGGGGTGCTCGCAGCACCCGCTCCGAACCCCTCGAACAGACACATGTCGAGAACCGCCCCCTTGGCACCGGCGACGACGTTCCCCTTGGAACCGTACACATTTTTCATGTAGAACCGTCGACGACTGCCTTTCGCATTCTCCCACCGCAAGACAGCCCCCAGAACCCTGCGGCGCTTGTTGGCTTCGATGAAGATTACAGGACCACACGGCTGTTGAACTGGGTTCAAAGCATCACCACAGCACCAGTCAACGAACCATTTCGACCTTGCGTGGTCCGACCACGACCTCGAGGTCGTAGACGAACGTTTTGTGGAATCTTTCCCTGATCCCATCTCGGAGGTTGCTGCAGGCTCCCCCTCGCCCCTCGACGAAGACATTTTGTCTGCGGACGACAACGGAAAACAAATGAACCACCAAAGAGCGTCATGTCGCAGACAAAACACAACGCAGGCAAAAAACACAGGCGTCAAACATGGCGGCCAACCATTTCGGGACCTTGAAGTTCGGATCCCGGCAAACTTTGGACGCGAAGACCTTTAACGACCTCTTATGTGCAACGAGATCAATCTTTAAAAAGGGACACAGGTCATGCGGTCGGGCGACAACCACATTGGTATTTCCGAAATACAGATGCCGACCACATGGGGAATGAACGGGAGGTCATGTGCGAAGCTCGCGTTGGACGGGGCGGTGTCCTCCGCTTAGCACTCGAAACACGGACAGGCTAGCACGCGAAGTTCGCCAGGGTCCCGACTAAAAGACGGTTTGACAGAAAGAGAGAAACAGCCAGCCCATGTAGTTGGCGTTCCAGAACCGGGCTCGAGCGAACATACTCCGCAACTACATTTGATCAAAACCAGAAGTCAGAGGCGGACTCTGCCGGTCGCCGGGCGGGTTGTGCGAACCACCGGACGGGCATGTCCGAAGACAAACCAACGCACCTCCCGAAAAGTGAAGTTCGCCGGGATCCGAACTTCAGGACGATGCGACAGGCAGAGACGGCGTCAGAAACACACGGTCCATGCACTCAACCGCGACCTGGAAATGCCACACAGAAACGAGAGACCGGTTGAGAAGGACAAGTTCGCCGAAATTCGAACTTCTTCTGACATGCGTAGCAGCCGTGACAACATTGTATGGGTCACTGGCGGGACAGAATGGCACGTGCGGAACAGGGCGGAGAGGAGCTGTTGTCGCAATCCACGGGGTATCCAGAAGACCACTGGCTGTCCAATAGACAGGAGTCGCAGGAAGTCTTCCTGGATCCGAACTTCAGAACGCCGCGAGAAAGACACACTTAGATAAACACTGGATCACATTTGAGCTCGGACGGAAGGTGGGGTCCGAGCAAGGTTATGGTGGGAGAACCCCGGGTCTCACAGCTGACCGCAGGTTTTGATGGCAGCAGTCATTGAGTCCGTCAATGCTCAAAACATATCCAGATGCAACAAGAGGCCCCGCAAACCGGGATATCTAACGGGTTTCAGTAAACGCGATGGTCGCGCGATCCAGCGGTCATTGGAACCTGGGATCCCTAAGAGTGCTTTTGCCATTTCGCGAGTGGGATCCCTAAGAGTGCTTTTGGCATTTCACAACGACAATGATCGACTGTTTGGCACATGTCGATGGTGGTCGGGGGACAACCGAACACGGATAGTGTTGATGAAGTTCGGTCGGCGATGGTCTCAGATCGCGAACGTCGACGGGCGTAATTGGTCGTTCAAACTTTTCGAGGGCCACGGTCTCATGCAAGACCGTGTTTGTGGTGCCTGGCGGTTCTTGCGGTCCGCCTGACACCAGCAGTACGAAAGACAAACCAACGCACATCCCAAAACGCGAAGTCCGCCAGGATCCGAACTTCGCCGCGGCGCGACATGGAAGGAGACGGCGTCAGAGATAGACCTTTAACATGATTTCCGGCGGTTTTTGAAAATGTTCGACGATCAGGGATTTGCACGACAAGTGCGCAGTGTAGTGTCTACGAGCAACTTTTGCCTCTTACACATCCCTCCACTGCTACACATCTAATACTGTATGCAGCAAAATGGCATCTCATACCTCTCCCTTCTTTTCCCTTAAACAGAAGGTCCGACTACTAGTTCAGACGAGCGGACATTCGTGGTTCCCCTGGGACGACGTCGAGAACCGAAGCCATACAAAGCATTCATTGACGATCCGTATAAGTGGATCTGCGGTTCGTCTACCGATGCCCTCTCTGAGAAGACGGACATGTATTTCATCCTAACAAACACTCCCGGTCGTGCTAAGGAATTCCCTATACAGTCCCGTATGTCGGACACTTTCTCCTCGACCTCACGATGCAACGAAAAGTTTTGGACCCGCCCTGCTATCACCAAATCGTGCCAACCATCTGGACGTGCAGGCCCACGCGTCCACACGAATTTGGACCCCTCAATCATCACCTCGTTCCGTGACACAAGCACAACTGCGTCGACGAGGTTCCTGCTCTTGTTCGAAGCGGCGATACATAGAACTCTGGCGTAATCAGTCCCCGACACAGTCAATCGCACACAACAGTATGACAGAGCTTGTGGAGAAGTCCCGAGGCACTGGAGCAGGTACTGCTCCAGGAACGAGCAGTGACGAGCGCAGTCCACCAACTCTTGTTTCCGCGAGCCTCCCCAAGTTCGTGGCGACGACCTGACGTAGTGGCACTCGAGGCGGCTGAAATGGCGGCTAATGCAGCCAAGTGCTCTGCGCATATGGTTCAGGAACTTGTGTCCGAGGACAGCGTCAGACACCGGGATGAGGTTTCCGAACTCCAACATGTTGGCGAACTTGTACTGGCTCGCCCATGGACAACGACTCTCCATCGTGGCCCAATTCCCATCGCACCACTCGTCAATATGCAGTCCCATGCACGGGACGACGGTCATCCAGGGGTCCTCATCAAAGTCGTCTGTGGTCGCTCCGTGGATCGTAGTCACACCGTTAAAATACCGCATGGATCTCGCGCAAGGACGGAATGGTTCTGCCATGAGAATGTGCGTCTCGAGACTCATGGTCTGAGGTGTCGAGAACATCGACTCAAAGATTCGTGGTGTCGAGAAGGTCGCCTCCATTACGCACCCTACATCCCACGCGCACACACCAAACCAGACACACAGGCACGGAGACACTCGTAAACACGTCATGTTCCACGATCTACGACCTATGGCATTAGACGAAGCGCACGCTACAAGATCTGAATCCGGGTGGTCGACTTGGTTGGTATTCACTTCTACCGGCCAGTGGGCCAGCCGCAAACATGTCCCACGAGAGGCGGGAACGTCATGTCCGGCATGATCCGAAATTGGCCAGACTGCGCGGGAGAGACAAAGGTGTCTCTAAAACTCGCCGTCTTGAACTTTTTTGAAGCTCGGATCTCGGCGGACATGACATTTTCACGAATCCAAAGTTGTGGCAATCCACCGGGCGCTAGAAACTCCACAGTCTGATCCCACACCACCAGGGATTTGAAGCACGCCTGTGTCCGAACTTGACGGCCGCTTGGCGAACCGTGCACGAGAAGTTCGGATCCCAGCGGACTTCGCATTTTATCGAATCCGAAGTCCGCCTGGGTTCGAAATTGACAACTGTCCGAGGAACCGTGCACGGAAGGTTCGGATCCACGGCCCAGCAGGCGGGCCGGGAACATGAATCGCGAAAGGACGAAATCTCGAGTTCGCCGATGTCCCAGCGGACTTCAAGTGTTTAAGAGCCCGAGGTTGTGGCGATCACCCAGGCGCCCTAGTCCGCATTCTGAACCCAAACAATGCTGACGGTGAAGTTCGCCGGGATCCGAACTTTACGTATGTGCGAGGGAACGTGCAGGAGAAGTCCGGATCCCAGCGGACTGTGCCAGGGACCTTGCAAGCGAGGTTCGGATCCACAACCCTGCAGGCGGGCCGCAAACATGTCTATCGAAAGGCGGGAACATGAAGTTCGCCGGGATCCGAACTTGGCGAAATTGCGTGGGAGAGACACACCTGTTTGCCAAACTCACCGTTCGACAATTTCTTGAAGTTCGGATCCCGGCGGACTTCGAATTTCTGCACATCCTCAGCTGTGGTTGTGGGGCGGGGTTGCGAAACGTGTTCGAACCATGAATACAAGCTCGCCGGAATGCGAACTTCTTCCGGTGTTTGATTGCGCGATCAGTTCAGTTTGATTGCACGATCAGTTCGCCAAAGTTCAACGTCCGACGAGGTTCGACGCCCGCCGAGGTTTGATGTGAAGCCAGGTTACATGCCCAACATGGTTCGATGTTATACAAGGTTCGATGACCAACAACATTGTGTGATCAGTTTGCGGGCACATGATCAATTGCCTTGTGGATTCTCTGCGAAGAATGGATTTGTCGCAGATCGGTCGCTCGATGCCGCTGCTTCCAACGTCTGCAGATTGATGATCTGGTCGGCGAGCGACCCGTCTCTCGAACTTGTTGGTAGTCTTCGACAGAACACTCGATTGGTCAGGAGATCTGCCAGGATCAGCTGTTTGATCGGGTGCTCAGTTGGCGGTTGGTGTGCTGATAGATCAACCACTCGAACAACCGCCAACAGAGCACCCGATCAAACACGTCATCGTGGCAGATCTCCTGACCAATCGACTTTTGTTTCGCCGACGGGTTGATCGCGCACGCGCACACGCAGACGCACAGACGCACGCACACGCACATCGCCTGCAGGAACACATAACAGGTCACGGTGATAAAACAGCACTCAAACGGACACGCACACACACACACAAACACTCACATCGCCGCGGTTTTGATGTTGCCATTGAGACAAGCCAAACACACATGCGGTGGCAACGTCGGGACAGCCCACACGATCAATCGAACGATCGCGAGTAATCTGTTAGCGTTCCGTGATCCCGATGTTGTCTCCTCGTGCACTGATTAATCATCCGTTAGGCGGATCAGGGACGATATTGTTGCGATAGCAATGAGCATCAATCACCCGATCGCGAGTGTTCGGCTTATGTTTCGTGACGAGTAGTTTCATTGAGTGTGCGTTGTATACATTGTCACCACTTGTTCGCGCGGAGCTTTCTCTGCTGATCGTGTTTTGCGATTGGTCGACGGATGCATTCGCTGTGTCGACATTGCCACCGCCTGTTTTGATCGATCATCCATTGTGCCGAACGGCTGATATGACAGTGGGACAGCACAAAGCATCACATCGAGTGTGGTAAGTGCTCAAGATGTGATTGTGTTTCGTGATTGGCCACCGCGTGTTCGATAAGACCTTTCATGATTCGCCAGACAAGCACATGATTCTCCACGCGTTCAATGTGCGCAGTCACACACACACGCGCAAAAATGACGTTGAAACACCTTCGCGCACATCTCTGTGCGTTAAATGTGCCTGATCACACACGCACGCGCAAAATTATGCACAGACAGGCACACGCACACAAACAAACAATCTGTCGACGTTTTATGCCGCCCACACACACACAAGCCTCTCAGATCCTGACGCGCGCACGATCCTTCCTCGCGCGTGTGGCATACACGTCATACAACCACACACACAATAAAACAAGCACTCGAATACACTAACACAAAAACAATCACACAGACACACACGCGCACGCACAAACACACACTAGCACACACACATACACACACACACACACACACACACACACATCCACCCGCACACACGCAAACATGAACTCTTTCAATCTGCGCGAGCATATCATCAGAAAACCTACCCGCACTCGCACACAAACACACACACGTCCCGGCTGCGGCCGCACTCACCGTGTGATACTGTCGAGTGGAGATTCGCGCGATCTGCGCCCTCAATCCAGACAGCAATCTGTCGACCTTTTGGCTTATGCTTTTCGTTCGTGAGTGTGCTGCGTGGAGTGCTTTGTTTTTGCGAGGGCAGTGCGTGGAGTGGTGGACGCCGGAAGTATCGCCACGCGACGTAGAATATGACGTGGACAGCGACTTCGAAGGTGGAGGGAGATGCGAGGGCATGCGGGGTGCGTCACTGCCGGGAAACGAGCGTGGTGAGGAATTTGTGTCCCTGCTCTTTGCCAGCTATGGCGCTCCAGCTGTGCAGGGTGGTGTTGTTGACGACAACGGCGGTGCAAGGCTTCCGTTGGGAAGCATCTCCCCAGCAAAAAACACAAAGTGCAACATTAATGCCCAGGGCATCGCTCGTACTTGTAGGCGCGGGGGACTCGAGGCCCCCTCGGGCCTTCCGTTTCGGAAAATCGCGAGGGGACCGTGCGCCACCGCACGACTGTTCGATCCTCGTATCGAACGGTGGCTCCGCGTCGAAATTTCCCCGACGGGGACCTGGTGAGCACGACATGACAAAAAAAGTCCCTGTGGGCCAGCCCTTCCCGGACGTCATTAAAAAATAGAGCCCTTTTCCCTGGCCGCTCGCGTTCGTGTCGTCGGGTTTGCGGGCCCCGACCAAGGGGGTCTCGGGCAGCGCGGGGGGGCAGCTTGTATTTTCCAGTCCGTTCGGGGGGGGGGGGGGGGGGGGGGGGGGGGCGGCGGGGTGCCGCGGGAGGGGAGGTTGGAGGGGTTCGCGGGCATTTGCGTCTCCTGCCTGGCGAGCGGGGTCCGAGGCTATGCGGGGGGACATAGGCGGGTCTTTCCATGGGGTGCGACGACAGTTCGGGGCTCCGCTGCCTGGGGTCTGGTGCAGCGCATTCGCATCTCCAGCCGTAACGAGCACATTCACACGTGACGTTCCTTCGGCGACGTCCTCCATCGCCTTTGCTGCTCTGCTGTTGCGCCACGTGTCTGCGGGCGTCCCTCTCGTCGCCAACTCTTTCCCGTCCTTCTGCCCGCTGCTGGGGTCCAGTTGTCGGCGCTTCCACATTCCATCTTTGCGTTCTGCGGTAGCAAGTGGCCGCCGTGGTCTGCGCTCAGCCCTTGTCGACAAGTCGCGCCATCGTGCGCGCTTCGCCATTGTCGAAGAGTTGCCCGTCGTCCAAGACTTGTGCCCCATCGGAGAGCTGCGCCATCGTGTGCGCTGTGCCCTCATTTAGGTGAAGTGGTTTTCTGCCTGCCCGCGTGTCAGTCATCGCACATGCCTGCCGGCGCATGGGAGCAGCCGCATCGCGCCACGTGACGCAAGTCGCGGCGACGGCGAGAACGGATGTCGATGACATTGGGGCACATGGTTTCTGTATGCCCTTTTGCTTCCCACTCGTTCGTTCCTCGCGAGCAGCCCCTTCACTCTTGCTTACCATCATCATCATCATCATCATCATCATCATCATCATCATCATCATCACCATCATCATCATCATCATCATCGTCCGCCAACCCATTTTTGATTTATATAACTTTGACATGTTTCTTTTGCCATTTTCTGAATTATTTTGATTGTTTTGTGGATTAGTATTAACAAATAATCATCAACGTCATTTTCTGAATTATTTGATTGTGTTGTGGATTAGTATTTACAAATAACCATCAACGTCATCATCATCATCCTCATCATCATCGTTGTCATCATCAATAACACCATCATCATCATCATCATCATCATCATCATCATCATCATCCTCATCATCATCAACGACATCATCAACACCATCATCATCATCATCACCGACATCGTCGCAGTCATCAACAACGCCACCGTCGTCGTCATCATCATCATCTTCATCAGCATCTGCATCGCAATCAGCATCATCATCATCTTCATCAACACCCAGATGATCGTCATGTCGTCATCATCATCGTCTGCATCGCAAATCAGCATCATCATCATCTTCATCAACACCCTAATGATCATCATGTCGCAAGTGGCGGTGACGGAGGGAGCGGATGACGAAGACATTGGGGCACACGGTTGCTCTGTTCCCTTCTCCTTCACTCTCATTTGTTCCACAAGATCGCCCCCACGATTCCTGCTTGGGTTGGCGATGGGCCCGATGGTTTCTGTATTTCCTTCTCTCCGCACTCCTTCGTTCCTCGTGAAAGGCCCCATGATTCCTGCTTCGCTTAGCATTGAATACGAGCCAATCGAACATTGCAAAACACTCCCACGCGGTTGCCATACTGAACATTGCAAAACACTCCCGCGTGGTTGAGGCAAACACGAAATCGCCTTTTTTCGGCAGAACACGAGATCCCGTCGACAAAAGTTCCTCGCACATTCACTTTTCTCGACAAACATTTCAGACATTGTTTAACACAGAGGAGATGCATTGGACTGCAAATCCACGACTGATGGTTCGAATCCTTCGCAGGGCAAACAGTGGTAGTGGCGAGTGTGCTGAACGACCAGCGGGCGCCACATGGGCTGCGCGCGACTAGGGTTGGAATTGAGCATCGCGTGGTGGCCACCGTGCGAACGATGTCCACCGTCCACGTGGTGTGCAGTGAGAGGAATGGTGTTCATCAACAGGAGGGGGTCGTCGTTCCGCTTTCATGTTCTCGTCACAACACTTGTGCCTCCCTCCCCGGAGAGACTACGGCGTCAATCCCGGGAGAGCTGGTGTCGTCTCCATCCCTCGCACACGACGTGCACATGATCCACCATAGAGGCCACGGATGTTGAGCGCGCAGGCCTGCCGCAGGTAACGAGGGACGCGACAGCGAATTGCGCACGACAAACGCCAGTGCTGTGCGCGCAACATCCGCGGGGTCCAAGACGAAGAATGTGCACGTTGCGCGCGCGCGATGGAGAACGACACCACCGCTCGCTGCGATGACAATGTCGTTTCTTCGACGTGAGCGCCGCATGATTCGTGACGAGAACCTGAACATGAAAAAATGACCTCGTTCAATAACGAACAACCCGGCCACCTCCGGGACACGTCTTATTCGTCGGGGAACGGTGGGTCACCATTGTGACTGCAGGCGCGAAACCAACATCCGCCAAACATGAACAGGCGAGTCGCGTGTCGTTGCCTGGCGAGATGGGAAGTTCGGATACCGGCGAACTACAGCAATCATGCGTAGTGCTCTCACGGAAGTGGCATTGTGTTGTCGTCGCGCAGCCGTTGGGAGAGCACGCGCCTCTGAGGGCAAGTTCGGATCTCGCCGGGCTTCGAGGTTCGACTAGAATCTAACCAGCCATTTCCGATGGCCTGGCCTTTCGCGTGTGTTGTGGTCGCCAGAGACGTTTGGGTGCGCAAAAGTGCCAGCCTGTCCAATTGCCTCGTTCGGGTTTGAGGCGGTTGCCGACGGTGGTGTCATCATCGACATGCGTGCAATCTGGCCACCGACATTCCCGTGTCTTTGCGCGCATGGCGGTTCGCGCTATCGTATGTCGACGTTGGCAGAGAGCGAGTCGGGCCTCGCCTTCTCGACTGGACGAATCGTCGTTAGATGGGGTTGTAGGGGGGGGGCCACCAGCCATGGTGATTTCTTTTCATGGGTCCATTCATTGTCATCACGGATCACAACATTTGTGACTGCATCGCCGCGCAAGCTCGCTCTGTAAGTGGGGAGAATCGGCGTCTATGGGGTTCTATTGGGGGCCGCGCTGCGCCGATTTCTAACGTGGTGCACCACCGACTACCATTTCTGTTGTGTTTCTGTTGTGCGTGCTCTCGTCGAACATACACTTGAGAACAGCAGCAGGGCCTCCCTGACCAGGCACACACGCATAGCGTTCCTTCTGTGCACTTCAACACCCATCCTCGAGATAACCGACATCCCGCGCATAAACCGATTCCTCGCCAGTCCAGCAAACGCCAAGTTCGGATCCCGGCAGACTTCGAGGTCCCGCGAAAAATTCAACCGCCAAGTTCGGATCCCGGCGAACTTAGAACGGACCGTTGTTTTCGACATCTTCGACATTCCCGTCTGTCTTCAATGTCGGCAGACTGGTAGTGCGCAAAAGTGCTCCCTTTCGAATTTGCCCTAAAAGGGGTTTATTGGGGTTGACGACGGTGTCAGTGGCCGGGTCCTTTTCCTGTGTGCCGTCGATCTTCATTGCCCTCCAATAAAAGCACTTCTAAATTTTTCGTGCCCGCGTAGTGTCTATGTCTGAGTTTGACAACCTCTTGTGCTAGTGCATCTGATTAGACGGTGGTGAGAATCGGTGTTTATAGGGGTCAGTTTGGGGTCGCGATGCGCCGAATTGTGTGTTGGTGCATCCACCATTACCCTTTGTTCTGCGCATTGTATCGTGCAACGAAAACTTGAGAGTGGCAGAGCCTTCCTTATGTGCGCCCAGACATAGCGTTCCTTATGTGAACCCGCTGGCACTCCCTTCCACTGGCACCGACCGCGCGAAAACAGGTTTCTGGCTACTCCAGCACCCGCCAAATTCGAATCCCGACGGACTTTGAGGCTCCGCGTAAATCTGACCGTTATTTTCAACAACTTCGACTTCCTCATTCCTCTTCAATGCCGGCGGCCTGGTTGTGCGCAAAACTGCTCGCCTTTGAAATTGCCGTAAAAGGGGTTTATTGGGGTTGGTGACGGTGTCAGTGGCCGGGTCCATTTCCTGTGCGCCGTCGATCTCCATTGCCTTCCAACAAAAGCCATTCTAATTGATTTGTGTCTGCGCAGTGTACATGTCCGACTTCGACAACCTCTTGTGCTACGACATCGGATTACATGGTGGTGAGAACTTTGAGGCTCCGCATATATCTGACCGTTGTTTTCAACAGCTTCGACTTCCCCGTTCGTCTTTTGTGACAGCGGCCTGGTAGTGCGCAAAACTGCTCGCCTTGTGAATTGCCCTAAAAGGGGTTTATTGGGGTTGACGACGATGTAAGTGGCCAAGTCCATTTCATGTATACCGTCGATCTTCGTTGCCTTCCAATAAAAGTCATTGTGATTGATTCGTGTCTGCGCAGTGCACAAGTCTGACTTCAACAACCTCTTGTGCTAGTACATCTGATTACACGGTGGCGAGAATCGGTGTTTATAGGGGTTAGTTTGGGGTCGCGATGCGCCGAATTGTGTGGTGGTGCATCCACCATTACCCTTTGTTCTACGCGTGCTATCATGCAACGAAAACTTGAGAGCGGCAAAGCCTTCCCTTTGTGCGCCCAGACATAGCGTTCCTTATGTGCACCCGCTGGCGCTCCCTTCCACTGGCACCGGCCGCGCAAAAAGAGGTTCCTGGCTACTCGAGCTCCCGCCAAATTCGGATCCCGGCGAACTTCGAAGCTCCACGTAAATCTGACCGTTATTTTCAACAGCTTCGACTTCCCCGTCCGTCTTCTATGACGGCGGACTGGTAGTGTGCAAAAGTGCTCGCCTTATGAATACCCTAAAAGGGGTTGATTGGGGTTGACGACGGTGTCAGTGGTCGGGTCTATTTCCTGTATACCGTCGATCTTCGTTGCCTTCCAATAAAAGTCATCGTGATTGATTCGTGTCTGCGCAGTGCACATGACCGACTTCGACAACCTCTTGTGCTAGTACATCTGATTACACAGTGGCGAGAATCGATGTTTACAGGGGTCAGCTTCGGGTCGCGATGCGCCGAATTGTGTGGTGGTGCATCCACCATTACCCTTTGTTCTGCGCGTGCTATCGTGCAACGAAAACTTGAGAGCGGCAGAGCCTTCCTTGTGTGCGCCCAGACATAGCGTTTCTTGTGTGCACCCGCTGGCGCTCCCTTCCACTACCATCGGCCGCGCAAAAACGGGTTCCTGGGTAATCGAGCTCCCGCCAAATTCGGATCCCGACGAACTTTGAAGCTCCGCGTAAATCTGACCGTTGTTTTCAACATCTTCGACTTCCCCGTCCGTCTTCTATGACGGCGGCCTGGTAGTGCGCAAAAGTGCTCGCCTTGTGAATTGCCCTAAAAGGGGTTTATTGGGGTTGACGACGGTGTCAGTGGCCGTGTTCATTTTCTGTATGCCGTCTATCTTTGTCGCCCTCCAATAAAAGCCAACATCGAGATAAGTGTGGTTTAGTCGCTGTCATGCTCCTTCCACGGCGTGCTTTGCGGTTCACGCAGTCGGGTGTCAACATTGCGAAGACGCTTCGGCATCGAAGCCGCACGTGCTGCAAAGGCTTTCAGTCCCAGCGCACAACCTTCGAATCGACGCGCATTTAATCGGAGTTTGCAGGGGTGGGGTGAGGGTCATTGAGCCATGTTTTTTTTTGTCTCCTGACTGTCATAGCCTTGCATTCGTTATGACGATTGGCCGACAGTCAGCTCACGGCAACCCGTTGATAACCGGTTAGCCGTCGATTCCATTTCTGTGAAGTTCGGATCCCGACGAACTTCTGTCTGCGAGTGTTCGACCGTCCATTCCGCACGTCTAATTGCTGATAGGACACGTCCTACTGGGCGCAACATACAAACAGAAATGTGTCGACAAATTAACAACATAGATTCAAGCCTGGCCGGTGGAGTGTCCGGCCCATAACCAAATATCACCGACCACATGCAGGCAGCGCGAGGTAGACATCTATTAATGTGGGCCGCATTACAGGCTTCCTTATAAACACTGGCCATGCATGAGTTCACGAACTATCAAAGTGATGGCATGTTATGTGTTGTCCATACTCGCCTGGCCCTCGGCGTTGTCGAGGGTCTCATTCGACACTCAAGTGTCGGCTGACACGCGCCTTGAGGGACTTGCCTCTCGACGCTAAACAACCGCCAAGACGGTTGCGTTACCTACCCTCTTCAGCTACCTGCGGGAGCGACGGGTAGGGGGGCCAAGGCCCTTTGTGGCAGCTGAGTTCCATCTGCGGAGGCCTTTAAATAGGTCAAGGGTTTTGACTTTGACAGCTGCTACGGACTTCAACGTCCAACTAAAAAAATATAAAAAACAAAAGGGGGAAGGGTGTCTCCGTTCTCTATTTTGGGGGGTGCGGGGGGGTGGAGGGTTGGTTGGCCCTTCTTTAGTAATCGTGCTTACAGTTTGCTCTGCTGTTTTGCATGGTGTGGACACGAATTCGAATGACCCGTTCAATCCGCACAAGAGAGATTAATCGATTACGCTGAGGGGAATCGCATCCGTTGCACCCGTGGTTGCATGTCGGCGCCAAAGACGGTTCGACGAACG